ACCTTGTTGTTTTAAATGACCTTCTAACTCGGTTTTCATGCCGTCCATAGCTCCTTTTAAGGCTTTGCCTTGGGCTTAAGGTTGTTTTTAACATTGTTTAGACCATCCTTAAGGTCTCCGACATTTGTGGCTAAACTAGAAAGTTTTACCTGTATCACAGCATCCTTTTTTCGGTCAGCTCAAAAGGAAAAGACTCCTGCTAATTGAGAAACACCAGGGATATTCATTTTACCTATAATTTCGAACCCTCTTCAAGCCAACCTAAACCAGTAATACCTGTTGCCGAAGCACCAGTTTCATCATCTACTGCTTTGTCGATTTTGTCTCAAGTTTTTTTGATTACCATATTTTGAAGTTAAATTTTATTATTATGAATGCGAATTATAAATTGTTTTTATTGCTTTTTAAAAGTTCCCGCAAACTACCGGCCCCAAAACTAACTTTTCCCATTTCTTTCATGCGAGCTTTGCCTTTTTTTTGCTTGGCTCATAATTTCATTTTTCGAGTTCTGTCTCCTCCGTACATGTTTCCTGTTACATGCTTTTTAAGGGCCGGTAAAGTTTCTCGAGCAATTACTTGATTACCAATGGTAGCCTGAATAGGAACAGTAAAATTTTGCTGGTTAAGAGTTAATTTTAATTGTTCACAGGTTGTTTTGGCTCGCTCATAAGCAAAACTCCGATGAACTAAAAAAGATAAATCAGAAATTAACTGGTTGTTCAGTAAAATGTCTATTTTAACAATGTCGCTAGTTTGAAAACCAATTATTTGGTAATCAAAAGAAGCATAGCCATGGGAAATAGATTTTATTTTATCATGAAAATCTAAAATAAACTCTGCCAAAGGTAAATGATAACTTAATTGGTAAAGCGAGCCAGTTTTTCACTCTTGCGACTGATAAATACCGCGTTTGTTTTGGCATAATTGGGTAATGGCTCCCAAATATTCCTCAGGCGTGGTAATACTTAAAGAAATAAATAATTCCTCAATAGTTTTTATTTTGTCCTTGGTGGATATTTTTTGCGGATTATTAGCTTCTAAACTTTCGTCATTAGAATAATTTACGCGGTAGGTAATACTGGGCGGAGTAGTAATAATTTCACAATTATATTCTTTTTTTAATCTTTCACCAATAATTTCCCGATGTAATAAACCTAAAAAACCACAACGGAAGCCCGGACCGAGCAATTGAGAATCAATACTTTCTAAACTTAAACTACTATCTTGGATTTGTAATTCCTCCAAAGACTTT